GGGGGGGGGGGGGGGGGGGGGGGGGGGGGGCTGCTGACAGACGAAGAGCAGCTGGCACCAGTTTGCCCGTCTAATACTTGCTTTGGGAATTCTGAAGCCATTTAAAGAGCTTAACACCTAATTGGAAAAACAAGACCCACGTACATTCAAGCCATCCACCACAACGGAATGTTTTTAGAGTAGAAGGGTAAGGAAATTAAAAGCATAGGGAATATAGTCAGTAATATTGTAATAACTATGAATGGTCCCAGGCGGGTACTCGAATTATTGGGGGGGATCACTTTATAAGTTATATACTTGTCTAACCACTATGCTATGCTCCTGAAACTAATATAAAATGATACTGAATGTCAACTGTAATTTTAAAAAAAAGAGTCCCTGGGAGTACCTGTGTGAACCTTGTCTGGCGGGAGGTAACTAGTCCTCTACGATCCGTATGTGCTGTGCATGCTCAGACAGGAGGTGAGGCCATCAGGTGTGGAAAGTATAATGACCCCAAGTGGCACTGCCAGTCCCCACATGCCAGTGAGAGAACCGCAGCATGTCAGAGTTGGAAGGGACTTTGGAGATTCTCTGTACAATCCCCCTTCCTACTCGTTCCATTTGAGGGAAGAGGAAATTGAGACCCAGAGAAGGGATGGAAGTTGCTCAAGATCATGCAGCTAGTTGGGGTCAGAGATAGGACCAGAAACCAGATCTCTGGATGCGGAATCTATGCCTCTCAATAAGCTGCTTCTCTCTTGTACCCGGGAGAAGGCAGAGCCTGCGTGGACAGAGCCACGCACTTCCTCATCCAAGGAGTGATAAGGAAATTGCAGTTGCTGAATAAACAGTGATTTTTCTAATCTTCTGTCTTTCTTCCACTGCAAGGCTATGCTGAAATATTGTCCAAAACAGTAAGCACAGACACCTTAAAAAAAACACACCCATCTTCACACACTTTCTAGTGACCATCTAGTAATGTTCTTTGATGTTACAGAACTCATCTTGGAGAAGATGAAATAGGACACCGTGACCTTCATTTCTCCTTAACCTTGTGAAAATTAATACAGAAACCTCTTTTAAAATGGAGTCAAGAGGCTAGAGGAGAGGACTCTCACTCACATGTCACTCAGTGCATACTATTCACAGCAATAGGAAGAGACCTACCTTGCGTCTACAGTAGGAGGTGATTCTGCATTACTACCTGAGCACGAGAAAGGATTCCTCCTTGCCCTGTAACAGCTCAGCCAATGGAAGACTGCCATCACTCAGCCAACGAAAAATCACTGTTCTTCAAACTTTTAGTTTCCTTCAATGACCCTTCATTTACAACAGCCCCTCTAAAGTCCATCAAAGAGCAGTCCTCTCCTTGGTTTCTCTGGATTTGAGTATGGTTTACCATTGGACCGAGAGTCCTGAATTGCAATTCTTTGTTGTTCCTGAATAAACCCATTTTGCTGGAGAAATATCTGGCTGTCTATTTGTTAAAGGTCAGCGGCATCATAACCAAAATGCAAATCTGCAGGAACAGGTGAGAGGCACTGTGATAGAGTGGACAGTACTGGAAGTTGGGAAACCTGGGTTTCTTGCACTAGACACCACCTCATGGGGTCTTTTTGGGTAAGTCTTGTCCACAGTCTGGGCCCGTTTCCTCATCTAAACAATGTGGGCAGTTCCCAGTGGTATCCAGGGTCTCTTGCCCCCTTGCTCTCCTCCTTCATAAACTCTAGTTCTTTACTTAAAGCCAAAATAGGAGATTGTGAAAGGAGAGAGGTAGAAAGTGTGGAAGTGAATTTAATTCAATGATTTTTAAACTCTATATTTATTAAAGAAATATTTACTGAGTATCAATTTATGCCAGGTACTTGGGCATTTTCTTTGCTAAAATGAGAAAAGACCCCACCAGTGAATAAATAAAGGCATGCCCCAACTTTAAGAAACCACAAATTTACCTTTAAAAAATTATGCCATTTCAACTGGGTTAGATAGTGTCCCCCAGAACTTCATATGTACCCAGAACCTATGAAACGTTGCCTTATTTGGAAATAGAGTCTTTGTAGATGTAATTTGTTAAATTAAGATGAGATCATAGTGGATTAAGTTGTGCCTTAATCCAATTATTGGTGTCCTTAAAAGAAAACATCTTGAGATGAAGGGGATAGGGGAAGTTAGGTGAAGATAAAGGCAGAGACCAGAGTAAGGTTGCCACAAGAAACACCAGGAGCTGCCAGAAGTCAGAAGAGGCAAGAAAGGATCCTTCCCTTGAGCCTCTGAAGGGAGCAAGTCCCTGCCAACACCTTGATTTTGGGCTTCTAGCCTCCAAAGCTGTGAAGGAGTAAACTTCTGTTGTTTTAAAGCACTTCCTTTATGGAAAATTGTTACAGGAAACTAACACAGGGCATAAAAAGTACACTGAGAAATACTGAAGGTTTAAGGTTGCAGCAACCTGTCATCTTAAGGTTACAGAAGTCTAACATTACTTCTAGTGAAGCTGAATTGGACTGAACTAGGTCAAGAGGTTAGCGGTCAAGAGGGTAGCCCTTGGAGACAAACGGAACTAGCTTGGAAACCAGCTCCAGGTTCATACCAGCAATGTGACCTCAGGCAGGTGATTGTGCCTCTTAGAGGTTTCCTCCTCTGTAAAATGAGGATACCAAATCCTCACCAGGTGACTGTGAAGACCAATTAAGATGAGATCATAGTGGATTAAGTTGTGCCTTAATACCTCATTTAAAAGTACTTCGCCCAGCCCTGGCACATAGTAGAGATTCAATAGCAGTCAGCTGGCATTTAAGACCAGAGCACCTAGTATGTCTACCCTACCTGAAGTTGCCTCAATTAATCCTGATCACGTGACCCTGATGATTTCTTTCATTGCACCACCTGTGATTATCTTTTTATTATTTATTTATTGGCTCTCTTCACCAGAATGGAGACTGTGAGCCCCATCAGGCAGAGGCAGAGTCTCATTTATGGCTGGACACCCAGGACCTGGCATAGACACTGGCATGTACTATGAGATGGGTGAATGAGTGAATGAATAGCGGACACCTTGTCTTATAAAGTATTAAATGGAGACAGGTTTAATCACCTTCTTTCCTTTTATTCTGTCTTCGATTCCGAATAATTGCATTAGAATTCCTCGCAATCCTCCCACCATCACGGTTTCTCTTGCTAACTATTTTAACCCCCTCTGGTAGGCACTCAGACTCTCGGATGTGTAAAATATGGTGTCCTGGGATCAAGTATGGGCTGCATTCTTCTTTTTTTTAATATGTCTTTATTGATGGGAGAGAGAGAGAAACATCAATCATGAGAGTCATTGATCAGCCGCCTCCTGCACGCTCCCTGCGGGGATCGGGCCCACAACCGGGCATGTGCCCTGACCGGGACTCGAACTGCGATCTCCTGGGTCCTAGGTCTGCTGAGCCCCGCCGGTCGGGCTGTGTTCTTGCTGGAGATACGGCCTGTGGGGTGGATGTCAGCCCTGTGTTTAGCGCGTAGTAAAGGCATTTCCCCCTCCTACCACTTGCTCTGTTTATTATTTGTCAGAGGGGTGTGGAGGAGATAAAAGGACCTGAAACAAGAGTAAATGGGAACAATTGGGGAGTTGTACACTCTTTGTGACTACCTTCCTTTTTTGGGGGGTTAGGTTGTACTGGGACACTGCCTGCTTCCAGCGATACCACCGCACAGGACTTCACAAGGTCAGTAACATTCTCTGAAGATTCTGTTTCAAGTGATCCCAGCCTCCCTGTCCCCAAAGACCTAAGGGGTCACGGTGGCTGGGAGTGGGGATTCTCAGGGGCAAGGAGGGCCTTTGCCCTGCTAACAAGATGCTCTTAACGGGAGGGCTGCCACTTACCCTGAAAGACACTGATCAACACCCATGATCCTCATCGCATCTCAGTTCTTGGTCTTTAGCGGCATAGGGTGACCTAAAGGGTGACCTAAAAAGGTCCTCAGTGGGGAAGGGAGACTAGAACCAAGAAGGCCCCAACAACTAAGCAGGAGCAAGGGCTGGCCAGCCATCCACCCGCACCCTGAGATCCTAGGGGAGTAATCCATCTTCTCAAATTTCCTCCTGGCCCCTTGCTGAGCCTGAGGGCTCCCCCTGGCTCCCCATTCTCTGGACAGCGCAGGCACTCAGCCATCTTGCTGAGAAGGTTTTCCTGACCTGACACGCACTGGCCCTGTCCCAGGCACCTTGCCGCCTGCCCTCCTGGCTGCTCCTCACAGGCCGAGCTACCCAACAGACTGCAGACCAGGCTGCTCTCCCGGGGTTGGTGCCAACTCTCATCAGCAAAAAAGGGTAAGTGTCAGGGCCTCTGGGGCTGGTTCCAGTAAGATGAGAGGGTCAAGACTGCTCTCCCTCCTCCGGGGGGGAGGTGATTTCTGACTTGGCTTGTTTAAAATGCTCGAAGAGGCCCGGCCGGGCGTGGCTCAGCGGTTGAGCGTCGACCTGGGATCCAGGCCATCGGGGTTCGATTCCCGGTCAGGGCACATGCCCGGGTTGTGGGCTCGATCAATGACTCTCTCATCATTGATGTTTCTACCTCTCTCTCTCCCTCTCCTTTCCTCTCTCTGAAGTCAATAAAGATATATTAAAAAAAAAAAAAAATTCTCAAAGAAGTCGCATCAGCAATCAGAGCAGTCTAGATCTCTGGAATCTGGCCACTGGGTGACTTTCACATCAGCCTCTGTCTCCGTGATTGAGGACCTCGGGACCTCGTCTTTTCCTTCAGGCCCAAGGCCTCTCAGGCGCTTCTTCCAGTGGGCCAGGCAGTGGTGGGCCGAGGAGCGGATCTCCCCACTCCGCAGAGCGTAGATGATGGGGTTGACCATGGAGTTGACAAGGCACAGCAAGGAGCAAAAGGCGAAGATCATCTTGACCTGGTCACTTAGAGTGGTGGTCAGGCTGTAGGCCATGAGGACTAGTACCGGGAACCAGCATATGAAGAGAACAGCCAGCACCAGCCCCAGGGTCTTGGCCAACCTCACATCCAGCCTCATCCGGGCCATCCCTGGCATCTGCCTGTCCTGGTGCTCAGCCAGGCGAGCTACATGCTGATGGGCCTTCCAGAGGACGTGCCCATAGGTGTAGATGATGCCAGAGAAGAGGAGGGCGATGAACAGGAGCCAGCTCAGCAGATAGTTATTGGGGATCAGAGGGAAAAGCTCAGAGCAGGGACTGGGACAGCAAGTCCATCCCATGAGGGGCAGGTAGGAGACCAATGCCGAGAGGACCCACATGATGCCCAGGGTCACCAGTGCCCTCCTACGGGTGAGGAGGGCTTTGTATGCAGGTGGGTAGCGCAGACAGAGGTAGCGGTCAACGGCGGTCAGCAGCAGGCTGCCTACAGAGGCTGTGAAGGTCATGGTCACACTGCCGATCTTCAGCAGAAAGACAGCCTTGGAATCCACGCCGTGAAAGACGTGGAAATTTACGAAGTTGCAGACAAAGATCACACTGGCCAGGAGGTCAGCCCCGGCCAAGCTGCTAATGAACAGGTACGAGGGCTTCCTGCGAAGCCGGTGGGAGGACAGGATCAGGTGGAGCACAGCCAGGTTCTCCAGGGCGCTTAGCAGGCCCAGCGGGGTGCACAGCACTGCAATAGCTATCTTTTGCTGACTGCTCAGAATCATGTAATCCTTCATGGGGTTGAAATCCAAGCCATCCTCGGAGCCATTGGCTGCCTTCATCACTGAGCATCTCTCCATGGAGTGAGTCCTTTGGATTCTGCTGGGCTTGCCAAGAAGTCTTGACTGTAGTACAGTGAGAAGAGAAATAAGTCTTTTACAATCAGCACAGTAATGGCCTCACACAGTCACTGACTCCTGCCAAAACCTTTATCTGTGCAGATGGGTATGTGGAAATAGCAATTGGTATTTTGTTTCTCTCTCCACTCTGCCTTATCTCCATTCCAGTGGGGCACTAGATCTGTCTGGTTGCCTTAGGAGAAGTATGTGGGAATTCAAGAAGCAGAAGTGGCCTGCAAGTGTTTTGGCCTTTTGTTTTCTAAAAGACTAATCCTAAGACTTCCCTTTGAAAGTAAGGTAAATGTCCCATGGTCAAAAATCAAGAGGAAATCAAAACCAAGAAAAAATGGCATCCAGAGTGATCAGGTGGAGGGGTTTTTTGCATTGGTGTTTTGGTTTTTGTTTGCCAGTTTTGGTAAGTAAGATGCTAAGGTTTAAACAACTATTTAGGGATGAGAGCCAAGACTTTGGTTTCACACCAGTAGGGTTGCCAGATAAAATATAGGAGTCCAGATAGATTTGAATGTCAGGTAATAAATCATTTTTTAGTATAAGTATAACCTAAATGTTGAGAAAAAATGAATCACCCAAATAGCTGAGATATTAGATGTTATTAGACAAAATTTCTCTAGAGGGATGTACTTTCTATCCAGGTCACACAAGATTCCCACATATAAAGGCTCACAATTTGAGCTCGCAATGCAAAATTACAAAATGCATAAGGAAACACGAACAAGAGTTAGCAGAAATGTCAGACAGTAGAATTAGACTTCCAGGAACTTCATACAATTCCTGGGCATACGTTATAAAAACGTTTAATATCATTAAACGATAAGGAATTGAAAACATGAGTACCTAATGAGTGACGGGGCAGATTAGAAAAGGAATCTAGTGGAGCTTTGGAAAACAAGGCGTTGAAAAAAGAAAGCCTAAGGGCAGGTTAAAGAGCTTAAAGGACTCATTGAAAAACATTGACCCGGAAGGCAGATTTGAAGGAATTTCTCAGAACACAGCACAAGGAGATAAAAAGATGGGAAACGTGAAAGAGAGCTTTAGAGACATGAAGGATTGAATGAAAAGGTTTAAATACATCTAACCAGAGTTTCAAAAGGAAATTATAGAATTGGTGAGGGGCATTGTGGAGGCAGTATTCGAAGAGATTGTAGTGGAGAGTTGTCCAGAATTCTCCTGGACATGACTCCTCAGATTCAGCAATCACAGGAAACTCCAAGCAGAATTTACAAAACAAACTAATTCCACATTCACATATATTATAATAAAACTCCAGAACACCAAAGTCAAAGAGAAAAAATTAAAAGCAATCAGAAAGAAAAGCTACAATACCTGCAGAGCAATCATAATTAAATTTAAAAGCAGGTTTCCCAATAGCAAGGATAATGGCCAGAAGATAAAGGGAAAAAAGCTAAACTATCACTCATAATAAAGAACACAAACAGAATTGTCCACTAACAGACCTTTGCTGAAGAAACATCTGAAAGATATGCCATCAGGAGAAGGAAATTCTTCATAGAGGAAAGAACAGAAAGGCAAGAAGAAATTGTGAACAAATAAGTTGATAAATGTATAATTTTTTTAAAAAAGTCTGTATAAGGCCATGATAATAATTATTATGACTGATTTGAAAATAAAAATAAAGTGCAAGTAAAATTATGAATGATAGTAACACAGGCCAAGAGAGAGACGAATAGAGTTGAAGCTTTATTTAGGAAATGAATAAAGGCATTGATTTAATTTAGACTTTTCAAAATCAGGCATTATCTCTTACCTGGTTTACTGCAATGTTAATTGGGTTCGCTGCTTTTAACCAGACCCATCTTTAGTCTAATTTCAACACAACAGCCAAAATGATCCTTTAAAAACACAACAGCCAAAGTGACCCCTACTACCATGCTTCCCTTGGTCAACCAGCTTTAGAAGCGATAAGGTCTACCGGTGGCTCCGTGTACTTATCTGTAAGACGGAGATAACCATGTAACCTCAGCCTTTACAGGTAATTCATGAGGATTAAGTGAATTAATATATAGAATATATGTAGATGACAGCTTGACCTTGGGGATGGCTAGTCTGAATATGGAACCTGCCCAGGACGGCCTAGTAATGCAAGTGTGGAACTGGGATTCGACCTCAGTCCTGTCTACGCCCACGCTGCCGAGGCGGCTCGTGTGTGAGATGTGCCTTAAATGGAGAATGCACACCAGATGCCCAAAACAGCATGAAGAAAGGCTGGAAAATAGCTCAATAACTTTTCCTACTGACGACAAGTCGAAATGATAATATTTCGGATATACTGGGCTAAATGTTCATTTTGCCTGTTTCTTTTCATTTATTTATTTTGTAGTGTGGCTACTAGAAAAATCTTAAATGACATCTGTCTCGTGTTACATCTTTATGGTCGTCCCTCGCCCACCCCAATGTACGGTGCTGCGGGCTGGCAGCCCGGTCAGAACAAATCCTCAGCAGCCAGTCTGGCTCAGCTGGCTGCCCACCACTCCCCAAACAGGTCTGCTTTCTTGCACCTTTGCCCCAGGGTTTCTTTCCTTCTGGGCTCATCTTTTTATTTTTATTTTTAATATATAGTTATTGATTTCAGAGAGAAGAAGGGAGAGGGAAAGAGAGAGAGAGAAACGTCAATGATGAGAGTCATTGATCGACTGCCTCCTGCACGTCCCCCAACTGGGGTTGGAGCCCGCAACCCAGGCATGTGCCCTGACCAGGAATTGAACCACGATCTCCTGGGTCCTAGGCCAACGCTCAACCGCTGAGCCATGCTGGCCGGGCTGGGCTCATCTTTTGCCCAGTGAAGCCTTCCCAGATCCCAGTTATACAACAGACTTATTCTGAATATATTGTAACCGGCTCTGCATTAACTAGTCTTTTCTCCAGCCAGATGAATAACTGCAGTAACCAACATTTGTATGGAATTCATATTCTACAGAATATTTCTTCACAGCCACAGTCTAATGTAATGCGCACCTCTCTATGATATAAGAATTATGGTTATTGGTGCTCTCCCTCCCGGGAGCAGCCTGCACCGTCCCCTCGCCTTTCCCCAGGCGCCTTACCTTTCCCTTCCTCTCTCCTAAACTCTAATAGTTTTTCCTCTGTCACTTTCGAAATAAACTTTCCCTTACAGTTTGAAAAAAGAATTATGGTTATTGTCGTTTCATAATGGAGGTTCAGAGACGTTAAACAAGTTGGCAGAGGCCACACAGCTTGTCAAGGTCAGGGACTGAGCCTTTGTTGTTTCTGGGTCTTCAGAGCCTGTACAATGTCTGAGCACAGTAGGAGCTCAGTAACTGTTTAATGAATAAGAGCCATTTGGATGGAAGGGGCTGTCTCAAATGGAGTAGACCCCAAGCAAGTGTCTAAGGGGACGGGGAGCACGCTGCATAGGTTCCAATCCCAGCCGGGTGGCTTGTCCAAGATACCTACTGCCTCATTTTCTGTCCATCTCTCACCTGTAAAATGGGTTTTGTGAGCATTTAAGTAAATTAATATAATACATAGAAGTTATTATTATTATTATTATTATTAAGAGCTTCTTCAAGTGGGGATAACTCACCTACTCCGTGAGGTTTTTAAGAATGTCTGGTGCATCATAAGTGCTCAATAAATGGCAGCCCTTATTATAATCCAGGATTGTGGTTTGGGGTTTTTTTTTTAAACATTTTTTTTTAAAAATATATCTTTATTGATTTCAGAGAGAGGAAAGGAGAGGGAGAGAGAGAGATAGAAACATCAATGATGAGAGAGTCATTGATCGGCTGCAGCCCACAACCCGGGCATGTGCCCTGACCGGGAATCGAACCCTGATCACCTGGATCCTAGGTTGACGCTTAACCGCTGAGCCACACTCTGCCCGGGCGGGTTGTTTTTTTTAAAGAGAGCAGAATGCTTTTTACAATTGGTGGAACCCCTGTTCATAAATCAAGTAAAATATGAGTCCATGTCACCTCTGTCCTCTCTTCAAGGCAGCCCAGGTTCCTCTGTGGAGCTCTCAGGCTCCAAGAAACAGATGGAAAGCCTCTGATTTAATCCAACTCCATCGTTTGACCATTGAGAGAGCAGACCAAAGATAGGGATATAATTTGCTTACGGTCACCCGCTGAATTAGCTGCAGAACTGGAACTAGATCCCACATGCCCCAAGTCACAAGTTTACAAAACTCTGTGCTCTCAGCACAGAGGCGACCCTACCTAGATGAGCTGAGAGGGGCATTTCCCTGAGTCAGGGGCCCATTGCTGAATGTTGCCAAGATCACACCTCAGCTGAGACAGGAAACGCTGCCAGCTGAGTTCTCAGCCCTGGTCACGAATGAGTGAGAGTGCAAGCCTTCTTCAGCTCCCGCTTCCTCCCTGCCCCTGCAGCCCCCCTGCCCCAACTGTCTTATATTTTCCTTAGAAAACAGCCCCTTCCCCATCAGAGGATGGCTTACCCCATGCAGAGTCCAGCCTAGAAGGGGGACGCCTGGAGAGGGGGTGTCCACATGGGTGCCTCACTCAGGCCTGGTGTAGCCTCCAACCTGTGGTTATTGTCCAAATAAGGTGAGGGCACACAATCCAGGCATTCGGATGGAGGTCCTAAAAAAGACAATATCACAGTAACAATGCAGAGAGCAGCGGGACCCAGCTCGCGCCTGCCTTCCTCAGGGCAGACAGGGCCCGGGCTCAGCGCGGCTGGCTTCTGGGCTGGGCCTTCCTCGGGCCAAAGCCCTGTGGGTGCGGGGCTGCTCTCCTTCCACCGCTGCTGTGCTTGTCCTGGGACTTTGGGCAAGTTCCTTCAACTTGCTGACTCCCTTTTCTCATTTGTGAAATGAAAATGACGATACCTGTCCTGTTCCCTTTGGGAAAACCAAACTGATGTTGGTCTCCACCAGGGCTTCTTTTAAAATATGTTTTTATTGATTGGTTGGTGCTCAACCATGGAGCCATGCCAACAGGCCTCCACCAGGGCTTTTTAACTCAGTCCACGGCTAGGCTGCGATGGGATAGTGGTCCTTCCAAAGTGTATGTAAGACTTTACTTCTGTGCATTTGTTAGGTGGGAAGGGCTCATATTTTTATCAGTGTGTCACTGCTTGTCCAAATATTAAGAGCCACTGAGGCATGCAAAAACATTTTGCCCTGGCCGGTGTTGCCCAGGGGTTAGAGCACCAGCGCACAAAGGGTCAAGTGTTCAATTCCTGGTCAAGGACATGTACGTGGGTTGCAAGTTTGATCTCCTGCCCCTATTGGGGCAAGTTCGGGAGGCAGCCGATCAATGTGCCTCTCTCACACCGATGTTTCTCTCTCCCCCCCTCCACTCTCTCTAAA